CATTTTTAATCATCTTCCTTCCTTCACTAAAACAATCAATCCAGTTATTGATTGAACTTCTAGGAAGTCTTTTGTCTTAATTAATTGTGTACAAATTATTATATGCCACTGCAAAGGAATTTTCAAGAAATAGCTTATTAAACTTTACGAGTAGACTGAGTCAACCAATTTTTTTGTCACGTGATCCACAAATTGACATCATTTTCACATTGTGACCTCACAAACATTGGAACAAAATATCTCAGTATACATGCTATTTATAGAACGTTTGACTCTGTGTGTGCCAAACTTCATTCTGATCTGAGTTGTGGGTTTGTAAATACAGAGATAGTTTGCGACCTTTTTGATCACCCCTTGTATTTTTGTCTTCAAAGAATTTTTTTTTATTGATTTATAATAATCTCCTTTTGTAAGGGGGGGGGGGGGGTTGGTCCTTCATTTTTATTTTTTGATCTCCTTTTCACAAAAGGATGCTTTGTACCAATTTTGGTAAAAATTGGCCCAGTTTTTCTTGAGATGTTGAAAATGTGAAAAGTTAATAGACAAAGAGACGACTAGACAGACAACTGGTGATCAGAAAAGATCAGGTACTGTATAGGGGGAAAATAACTTGCGGTGATAATATTTGCTATATTTACGCTGTTAATAAATCAGTGAATTCAAGAAACAGTGAATAAATTTTCAATTATCTCCATGTTTTATTTGGAAATTTGAGAACAGACTACGATAGGTTGATATACATGTACATGCAATACATGGCCATTTCAGTAATTACGAGTAGTACTTGTCATTCAATTATTTTAATTATCATGCTTTACTTTAATTCAAATCAGTAGATAATAACCTGTGTTTGTTCAAAAGCTGTTTTAATGGTTTATTCCCCGAATGGCTACTCGGAAAAAACAACAAGTAATTATCACACTCAATTAAGGGGCCCTCTAAGGGGTACAGGTAGACTTACCTGTATGAATAATCTACCAGAATTTAAATAAAATAAAACAGTTTTTTAATTCATTTTTTTTTTATTATTTGAACACTGGTATACATGTAAATAAATATTTTGTATGCATATTTTTAAAGAAAAATTTTACAGGCACAAACATATTTAAAACTATAAATTATCTTGAAGTTCTATTGTTTAGCAGCACTGATTTTCACATTATAAATTAAATAGCACTGTTTCACTTTCATATCACACATATTTACAATATTTACAAGTCATTTAGTCTCCATGTTTCATCACAACTAAGGGATCACTATCCAAGGCACTGGCGTCGGAAGCAAATTGAAACTGTGGAGGGGGGCTAAGTGTAAAAAAAAAGTTCTGTACCTTCTATAAAAAACCTGACAAGCAAAAACTATTAAAAAAAAGGGGGGGGAATGTCCATTTCCCAAACACGAAAATCCCAAAGCTTCATCAATTAGCTTATTAACTTAGGAATTCCTTAAAAATCAAAGTGATCTGTTTTTACCTCGAATCATCTATATTTATTATAAAATTTGAAACATAAACCTTTGTATTTTATGATGATTTAAAAGAATGTTTTAATAATCAAAAACGATAAATACATGCATTAAATTCAACAAAATTTTACAGAAATAATTTATTTATCATACATAAATATGTTTTTTATGTGTTAATTTGATATTTAAAAGAGTTTGAAAATTTTGCACAACAAGGGGATAATAGTTTGTAAATTCTCAATCAATACTATTGAATAGTTTGGAGAAAAAAAAATAAAATTTAAGGTTTATTTATTTATTCAGTATATTTCTGAAAAAAAAAAACTGAATGAAATTAAAAAAATCAATAAAATTGAATGAATATATCTGATTGCTTAAATATTGCTTATCCAGGTAAACACAGGTAAGTCTACCTGTACCCTTTAGAGGGCCCCTTAATTGAGTGTGATAATTACTTGTTGTTTTTTCCGAGTAGCCATTCAGGGAACACACCGTTTTAATAGCCAATACTGCATGTTTCACCAATCAAAACATGTGGGCCATGGGTTTTGATTACCCATGCATAACTAATGTTACCACGTGTATTTGTTACCTGCATTATCATGCATATTGGTTTTTTATTGACATTTTGGTTTTAAAAAATTGCTCATATAAATATCAAACTTACTGAAGATGTGAAAGGATATTATTTTGTCGAACTACATAAACACATTTATTTCTGTCCAGTGGTTTTTTGCCGCATTAATTGTATTGAAGATCTCTCATCTTAATAGCGTCTATAGGAAAGTCATTTGATGTTTAGAGTGAAGGAATTTTAATAACTGCACTTGTTTTAATTAATTATTTATTAAATTTAACAATTTTATATTAACCTATCCTGTTGTTCGTGAAATAAAGACATAAAGCTGATTAATGTTGTTTACATGTAGCTATGATATGGATTAAACGGATATAGACAAGGGAGGTAACTTTTATTGTATATACCAATTCCGTGAATTCAAGAAACCGCGATTGTGTCAGATGAGAGAAAAACATGAAAATTACAACCCATGAAATTAATCCCGTATACAGAATGCTAATAAAGTTTAATGAAGGCTTTTTGGGGGGTTAAGAATTTTCAAAGTATACAATACGTGTGATTTTTTAAAAAAGATTTGAAATAATACTCCATATAATACTAAAAACAAATAACTTTAAATCATCTTAATAGAATCACTTCTCATTTTTTGGAAAGTAAAGCAAAGGCATGCTTTACAGCTTTTATAACAAAAGTCCAGTGGGCTTCAGAGGTCACGTGAGTATGATGAGATTTTCAGGCTATGACCACTTGAAACTGGCTTAGACTTAAATTGCAAACATTTTACAGTTGGAAAAGAACTTTTTAAATATTATCATATCATATTAAGCATTAATTAAGTTCTAGGTATGAACACATTATATGAATACTGGAAATCTAATGTTTGTCCTTCCTCTCTTTATTTACCTTATCTAGATTAGAGAATTGTGCACACCAGTGGTATATCCCAGTGTAGTCCAATTGTGTACCAACTACCAAGTTTTATTGAAATCAGGCAAAAATTGTAGATTTCAAAAACCACTGGAAAGCCAGACAGATGGATGTCTGACACTGTGATATTGCATGAACTCTTAATCTTTTTAATCACATTTTACCAGAGGAACTTTAAGTTACCCGCTGCATGCTTTGATTTAAAAGCCTCAGCCACTATTCTTTAACAGAAAAATTATTTGTCAATTTGAAATTTTTGGAATGAAATGAGGAAAACTTTTGGGTAATCTGGGGCTTAATGCCATGACATCATCTTATTCTGCATAAATCAAATATTTTCAGATCTGAACTTCAGAAAATATACAGATTGTTTTATATTAATATGACTAAAACATAAGTAATCAAAGATAACGATGTTCCCCTCTCAAATGTTATGCATCAGTAAGGCAAAATATATTTTCTAGTGAGTGCATGAGTGCATCATGAGATCAATATCCATGCAGGTTTGGTTTAATCTGAACTTACAGCTACTTGAGAATGGACCTGCTTCAAAAAATTTACCCTATTTATTTATCAAGAAAAAAATCTGTGAGTTCAAACATCTGGAGCAAGTCTGGAAGAGTCCATCCTAAAGTTCATCTCCCACGCAGGTTTAAACATAACAGGCCATAAAAGTTAAGAAGTAGTCCAAAAATTTGACCCTGGTCACTCATTAGGAAAATGTTTGTCAGACTCAGCATCCAAAGCTGGTCCGGATCTCCATCAGTACATACACCATCCATACAATTGGTATGTATGGATAAATTTAACTTCTACCTTTACCTGGTCACCCATCTGGAAAATATAGGTCAGATTCAGCATCCGAAGAAAGTTTCAAAGTGTCCATCTCTAGATGTATCATCCATGCAAGTTTGGTTTCACAGGTCCAGGTAGGGGTTATACTTGCATGGTATTGGATCTGCTCCTAAAACTTTAACCTGGTCACTCATTTGGAAAACAAGAGGTACTGTGAGCACAGAGCTCACTAAATGATACCCCTGCCTCCCATATGATAATAATTGCAAAGTCCATGTTTTGCTCTTGGAGACATGAAAAAATATCAGATCAGAAAGTAAAATAAAAGGTGCACAACGGCATTATGTAATAAAGAATTGGTGAAAGTATCATTAAATTTTATTCAGTGGTATAGGAGGAGTTGCAGATAAGAGATGGGCCCTTCAATATCATAGAAAGAATGGTAGTGTCAATGTTTTGCTATGGGAAATCCAAAATATGTTCTTTCAAAAAGTAAAATATGCTCAATGGCACTATCCCTAGATGCATCATCCATGCAAGTATGGTCCAGGTAAGATGTATAGTTACTTGGTAATAGACCTGCTCATAAAACTTTAACCTGGTCACTTAAGGTCAGATCAACCATCAAGGAAGTCTGAAAATGTCTTATCTCTAGATCGATCAATGCATCTTCCGTGCAAGTATGATCCGGTAAGGTGTATACCTACTTGGTAATGGACCTGCTCTTAAAACTTAAACTGAAGTTATTTTTTTTGAGAAAATCAAAATTGTACACAAAACAACACTGCAAGTGAGTCTACGTCACTTTAATACTTTTGCACCGTCACTCTGACTGTACCCCTTGAACTGAAGACGAGATATACCTATGGGCACAAGCTACTTTTATGTTAAGCATTAGAGTCTAATGTTTATTAATGTTAAAGTTATAAGCAGCCTCAAATTTCTTGTCCAAGAAGTCATGTACAATTACAACTAAAAAAGAATCACAATTCTGAAATTCTGACTAATATATCTGAAAGAAACTCAAGTTGCACAAGTGAAATGATAAATATCAATTATCCAATGAAAATTTGATCCAGATAAAGACCCAGTCTACATCCAGTTAGACAGACAAACATGGTGATTTGTTTGCCAGGAAGGAAGAGTATGATAATATTATATAGAATACTATATTTAGTTAATGAATGTACAAAGGAAAGAGTGTTTTTAAACTTAAATCAGGAAACATAAAAACCTGAAGATAATGAAACCTCTTCTGCACAAGATCTGTCAGTTTCTGGGATTCTTTCTTTCTCCATTGCTCCATTCCATCCACTGACCTCAGATTCAAGAAATCTGAACTCAAGGTTCTGAAGATCAAATAACCAAAGCTGAATATTAGATCTCAAGATTTAACATTGTGATATCATATCTAAACCTTGAGTTTATCAGCATCAAAAAAAGTATTCTTCATTGAATTGAGTTATTCCTGTGATATAATTTTTTTTAATCCTCCAAAAGTACATTTGTATTGCATCATCATAAGAAATGTACCATCTTTGATCTGTGATTAATTCATACAAATAATCAAACACCTTATTGTTATTGTCTTAAACTGGCAAAATATGACAGGCTAATGGAAGGACAGAAAGATGAAAAAACAGGATGGAAGATGGACTTGACAAACACTATATGCCCAGGCCTTTTTTGTATTAAAGCATAACAAGAGGCCCATGTGCCACATTGCTCACCTGAGCACTGTGGCTAGAAAATAAGCAAAATCAATCCAGTGTTGAAAAAGCTTCAATGCATAATAGGTCCCCATATACCTCTAACAAGAGGCCCATGGGCCACATCGCTCACCTGAGCACATGGGCTAGTTAAAAAACACAAATCAGCTTGGTATTGAAAAGCTTACTTGTTAGGTGAGGGGGATTTGAATTTTCTATTACTTGAGAATGTCACTATATAAATAAAGCATACATGTATAATGTTGCCAAACTTGAAAAGAAGATTTTTAAAAGATTTCTCCAACATATTACTTAATCTCCCATTGCAACCCCTGGCTAACATCCCCCCACCCACCCCCGACAATATTTGAACTAGAACTGTCCAATAGGGACGAATACCCCCCGCTGGGTTTTTCAGAGAATGTGCCAATTCAAAAATACTTTATGGATCTAGAGGTGTTCACAATTTACTTACAAAAATTTGCAGTGAAATATAATTGCTCATCATGTTTCTTAATGAATGAAACAAAGGTGCAACCAAATGAAACATCAATACTAATACATTGTAATTCCATTGTAACATTATTTTTTTATTTAATTTTTTTATTTCTGCATTAAAAAAATATATTGCAATTATGTGTTATGTCACTCTGCAAACTGATTGTTGAAAAAAAAAATCATATTATACAAAATCAAATTAATCTTGATAACTTTATATCAAATTCATTTGAAAATAAAGAGCTGGTCATCCAGTAATGAAGTGCTTTGACAGACAATAAATTACAATTAAGAGAATAAGAGAAGAGAGATCTTTAATTCTTGTGCCTGATTCCCAGGAGATTACACATGGTTGATAATGAGATGCCTTAATGTTCAACTTTCCACACCAAACTCATTAATTTATCTTAAACTGGATGCATGTCCAGTCATTATTCCCAAGAGACAAATGAAATTACATTATCTTCTGTGCAATGTAAAAACTGTTTTTAGCACTTGATGATGTTTTTTTTTTTTAAGTTTATATGAGTAGTTTTAAGCTGTAGTATTTTTGTACAGATATTCTAGATTCTATGTCTCAAACCTTATACATGAGCCCAAAATGAACAAGTCAATTAAAATAAAAAATAAAACCTGTAAAATGCAAAAAAAATGAACAAAAAGAGTTGAAAATTCCAATTGCACACCTTCATATGGTGAATAATAAGTGTACAAATTTTCAGATTAATCCTTGCAATAGTTTCTGAGAAACGGTCTGGACAAAACCACAAAATAAAAATGAAAAAACACCTGTAAAATTCAAAATAATAATCGAATCAAGATGAAAATATCAGGTGCACAACTTCATATGGTGAATAATATTTGTACAAATTTTCAGACAAATCCTTCCAATAGTTTCTGAGTAATGGTCCGGACAAAATCTCGTCTACAGACAGACAGACAGACGGACAGACGGACAGACGGACATGGTGATTCCAATATACCCCCCCTAAACTTCGTTTGCGGGGGGTATAATAAATTTAAATCTTCACTACTTGCAGATGCTTACACGTCAATTTGACTAAACAAAAATTTTCCTGTTCTGGAGAAGATTTTTTCCTATATACATGTATTCTATGTACATGTATATCATATATGCAAAACTTCCCTCATTATGGCCACACCTATCCCCCAGGGGTCATGATTTGAACAAACTTGAATCTACACTACCTGATAATGCTTCCACATGAGTTTCATCTTTCCTGGTCCAATAGTTCTGGAGAAGATAATTTTTAAAAGATTTTCCCTATATATTCCAATGTAAAACTTTGATCAGCCATTGTGGCCCCACCCTACCCCTGGAGGTCATGATTTGAACAAACTTGAATCTACACTACCTGAGGAGGATTCAACATGAGTTTCATATTTCCTGTCTCCATGGTTCTTGAGAAGAAGATTTTTAAAGATTTTTCCTATATATTCCTACGTAAAACTTTGATCGGCCATTGTGGCCCCCCTCGGGTTCATGATTTGAACAAACTTGAATCTACACTACCTGAGGATGATTTCACATGAGTTTCATATTTCCTGTCTCAATGGTTCTTGAGAAGAAGATTTTTAAAGATTTTTCCTATATATTCCTATGTAAAACTTTGATCCGCCATTGTGGCTCCACCCTACCCTGGGGGGTCATGATTTGAACAAAATTGAATCTACACTACCTGAGGAGAATTCAACGTGAGTTTCATCTTTCATAGCCCAATGGTTCTCGAGAAGAAGATTTTTAAAATTTTTTCCAATATATTCCTATGTAAAACTTTGATCAGCCATTGTGGCCCCGCCCTACCCCTGGGGGTCATGATTTGAACAAACTTGAATCTACACTACCTGAGGAGGATTCAACATGAGTTTCATCTTTCCTGTCTCCATGGTTCTTGAGAAGAAGATTTTTAAAGATTTTTCCAATATATTCCAATGTAAAGCTTTGATCGGCCATTGTGGCCCCGCCTACCCCTGAGGTTCATGATTTGAACAAACTTGAATCTACACTACCTGAGGAGGATTCAGCATGAGTTTCATATTTCCTGTCTCCATGGTTCTTGAGAAGAAGATTTTTAAAGATTATTCCTATATATTCCTATGTAAAACTTTGATCGGCCATTGTGGCCCCACCCTTGCTTTGGGGGTCATGATTTGAACAAATTTGTATTTACACTTCTTGAGGGTGATTTTCTGAGTTTCATCTTTCCTGGTCCAGTGGTTGTTGAGAAGAAAATTTTTTTTAAAATGCCATTATTTTTTCACAAATTTATTATTTTCTCCCCTTGGAAGAGGGCTTAACCTTTCATTTGAACAAACTTGAATCCCCTTCACCTAAGGATACTTTGTGGCAAGTTTGGTTGAAACTGGCCCAGTGGTTCTTGAGAAGAAGATGAAAACGTGAAAAGTTTACGACAACAACAACGACAACAACGACGACTACGACAGACAACGGACAAATTTTGATCAGAAAAGCTCACTTGAGCCTTCGGCTTAGGTGAGCTAAAAAGGCGGGATGGGTGATTTGAATTAATTTTGATGGTCCATTGTGACACCGCCATACCCCCGGGGGTCATGATTTGAACAAACTTGAATCTACACTACCTAAAACTGCTACCTTATAAATATGACCAATCATGGCTTTGATGATCTTCACAAGAAAATTCTCCTATATATTTCTATGTTAAACTTTGATCCCAAAATGTGGCATCACCCTACCCCTGGGGGCCATGATTTGAACAAACCTGAATCTACACTACCTGAGGATGCTTCCTTATAAATATTACCAATCATGGCTTTGTTGATCTTCACAAGAAAATTTTTCCTATATATTTCTATTATAAACTTTGATCCCCAAATGTGGTCCCACCCTACCCCTGGGGGCCATGATTTGAACAAACTTGAATCTACACTACCTGAGGAGAATTCAATGTAAATATGACTAGTCATGGCTTTGTTGTACTTGAGAAGAAGATTGTTAAAGATTTTTCCACTGTATTCCTAGGTAAAACTTTGATCATCCATTGTGGCCCCGCCCTATCCCCGGGGGTCATGATTTGAACAAATTTGAATCTACACTACCTGAGGATGCTTCCACATAAATATGACCAGTCATGGCTTTGTTGTTCTTGAGAAGAAGAGTGTTAATGATTTTCTCTATGTATTTCTATGTAAAACTTAGATCGTCCTTTGTGGCCCCGTTGTACTACCGGGGGGGGGGGGGGGGGGGGGGGGGTCATGATTTGAACAAACTTGAATCCACACTACCTGAGACCAGTCATGGCTTTGTTGATCTTGAGAAGAAGATTGTTAAAGATTTTCCCTATGTATTCAAATGTAAAACTCTGCTCGGCCATTGTGGCCCGGCCCTACCCCTGGGGGTCATGATTTGAACAAACTTGAATCTACACTATCTGAGGATGTTTTCACATTAGTTTCAGCTTTCCCGTCCCAGTGGTTCTTGAGAAGAAGATTTTTAAAGCATGCCACCAAATTTTCACTATTTCTTGATTATCTCTCCTTGAAAGAGGGCATGGCCCTTCTCTTGAACAGACTTTAATCCCCTTCACCCAAGGATGCTTTGTGGCAAGCTTGGTTGAAATTGGCCCATTGGTTCTAGAAAAGAAGTTGAATATGTGAAAAGTGTAGACGGAAGGACAGAAGGACGCCTGACAAAATGTGATCTGGTGAGCTTAAAATGATTATTTAAAATCTTAAGCATATGCATGTCATTTTTTCTAACCTTTGGTATCCATGAGCATTCCCTATTATTTTGTTAATATGGCTGACAAGGTTGGTGTTACCCTCTGCCTCATTTTTTAGGGTGAGTAGCTGATGCCACATGTAGTACCAAAATTCTGCTGCAGTATTCTCTACTCGGCGTCTGGCTACTTCATGTTCCTTTGTTGGCTGACCTATAAAACGAAATATAGGCATGGAGGGATCATCTGTACAACTCAGGGATGGGGTAATTGAAAAAAGTAATAATTATTGTAATTGACTGTAATTAATTACATTTTTTTAAGTAATTGGAACTAATTTGTAATCAAACATTTTTTCAATTACTTGTAATTGCAATTTAATTAATTACACTGAAAAAATACCATGTCATTTCAAATACTTTTTCAATTACATTCAATTACTTTATAATTGAGCTGTTCCAAGCAAAAACCCCCCTTATGTCAAAAATTTTCGAAAATGACTTTTTTCTTGAAAATTGATGTAGAACCTTAGGTAAATATAACCTCTAAATATTACAGGCGTATCTTGCTCCATTACGGATTTACAGGTATTCAAAGTATGAAACATTTATACGGCTGACGTCATATTTTATAAATTTTCTATTGTAGCGACATCGACAATGTAGCAACGTAATAAAAACATGAATTACTTATACACAATAACTTAGTATTGTATTGCCATTCTGATTAATATATATATGCTTAATTTGTTGTAAATATTATTCAATTTTTTTTATATTAATTAAAAATATGTCTCACTGGAGTTCAAATAGTCCTTTAATTTGCTGACTTAGAGAAAACATCACAAACAATTGATAGGTCTTTTATAAAATAAAATTCACTTTCAATTTTACCGTTAAGTTCAGCCCAAATCTTTCAAAACCAATTCCCATCAATTTATTTTTTATAATTGCATGGTTTTACTTGTCCAACCTTTGCCTTCAAAACACTGACCAAGAGACAGCATTAAGGGGCAGGGGCTTGCGCTTTTATTAATGAACACGACATAAGGATTTTGTAAAGTATGGTATATCAATGTAAATGGTGAGTACCATTTATCTTTTTTTCTAAATGCTCAACTACATATGCTTTTTCTTTGCTTAATTATGTTCTCATTTGTTAAAACATAGGTAATCAGAGATTAAAGAGCTCACCTCAACGAATGTTGTCTTTAAGTAACGCAAAGTCACGCAATTAACCAACAAAAAGTGTACATCCAAAAATGCAAAATTTATGCAATTTTGATTTGATACTTTGGAACAGACCTATATGAAAACTTCAAACTAGTTCTTCTTCATGAAAACGTAATTAAAATCCAGCATCTGAAGCAAGTTTGAGAGTTTTCATCCCTAGATGCATCATTTGTGCAAGTTTGGTTTATATAAGCCTAATAGTTTCTTGGTAATAGACCTGCACCCATAACTTTTACTGGTCCATTATCTGGAAAATGTATGTCGAATTCAGCATTCCAAGCAAGTCCATTAGTGTGCATCCTAAGATGTATCATTAATGCAAGTTTGCTCAACATAGAGCTCAAAGTTACTTGGAAATGAAACCTGTATAAAAAACTAACCTTTTCACTAATCCAGCAAAAATGTAGGTCAGATTCAGCATCCGAAATCAACCTAGTAGAATGCACCCTTAGATGTACCATCCATGCAAGTTTGGTCATTATAGGGCTCAAAGTTACTTGGAAATGAATCCTGCACCAAAAACTTTAACCTGATCACTCATCCAGAAAATGTGGGTCAAATTCAGCATCCAAAGAAAGTCTGGTAGTATGCATCCTAAGATGTACCATTTATGCAAGTTTGGTCATTATATGGCTCATAGTATCTTTGAAATGAGACCTGCACCAAAAACTTTAACCTGTTCACTCAACCAGAAAATGTAGGTCAGATTCAGCATCCGAAGCAAGTCTGGTAGTATGCATCTTTAGGTGTATCATCCATGCAAGTTTGGTCACTATAGTACTCATAGTTACTTGGAAATGAGACCTGCACTGAAAACAAACCTGTTCACTCATGCAGAAAATGTAGGTCAGATTCAGCATCCGAAGCAAGCCTGGTAGTGTGCATCCTAAGATGTACCATCCATGCAAGTTTGGTCAACATAGGGCTTAAAGTTACTCAGAAATGAGACCTACACCAAAAACTGCACCAAAAATGTTAACCTGCTCCAAAAACATTAACCTGGTCATTCCTTTGCTGAAATTGCAGCATCTGAAACTTTGACTGGTACAATGAAACACACTAGAAACATCATCCGTGCATGTCTAATCAATGTAGGACATAGAAGTACTTAAAAAGAAAACTGCTCCCAAAAACTTAACCTTAACCTGGGACGCCGACACCGACGCCGAGGGTGAGGTGAGCTAAAAATATTAGAAGGAAAGGGGGAGGGCTGCAAGGAAAGAATAAATATATAAGTACTAGTATAAAGGCAATTTAGACTAGATATATACATGGTAAATCTGTAATCTGTAATTTATGAATAGTTAAAGTGTACTTTTCAGATTTCAAATTATGAAATAACTAATTAAAACATGACCTGAAGAACTGAGAAAATGGATAAGGCATTTGATTCAGCTTTTTAAAAAATTGTATATTTTCTACAATCACGTACATGTAATTAATATATAGAAGATTGCCAAACATACAGCCCTGTTGCAACCACTATATTGAAATAACGACCACTATTGAAATAATTATATCAATAGTAGTTGAGAGTGCATTTCAATAGCAAACATAGTTAGTAACCACTATTGAAGTACGACCACTATTGAAATACTTATTTCATTAGTGGTTGAGAGTGCATTTCAATAACCAACATAGGTGATAACCACTATTTAGATACGCCCACTATTGAAATAATTATTTCAATAGTGGGTGAGATTCATTTCAATAACAAACAGAGATAGTAACCACTATTGAAATGATGTTCACTTTTGAAATAAAGATTTCAATATGGATAAAATTATTGATTTCAATAGTGCTTTGAACAATGAATCCAATATATATTGAAATAATAATTTCAGAAGTTGCTGACGCGGTGAAACCTTTCTTTCAATACTGTAGTATTTCAATTGTGGTTGAAACCCATGGTAACCATATTGAAATGTAGGGATGTGCAATTTTATCGGTACATATCGGTATATCGCGATTTTTTGCTGCGTGATACCTATCGTGATACGGAGATCTAAATACCGGTATTTAGGTTCATATTATAAAGTATTCATTTATTTGTTCAATCTTTCAAATTACAATTACAGAAAGTCTAAAAAATGTTGTAAAAGGTGAAAAGAACAGTATTTTACCATCCAAACATGATTAATTTTATGTACATAAAAATTTCAAAAATTTTAAATTTTGTTTTTCAGGCATATTTTACAAAAAATAATGACTATTCATTTAAAATCATTGTAAAATTTGCTTGTAAAAATATCATGATATTATCGTGATATTTTGGAAACAAAATCATGATATATCGCGATACGAAATTTTTGGCGAGACCCATCCCTACTGAAATGCACTCTCATCCACTATTAAATAATTATTCCAATAGTGTTCGTATTTCAATAGTGGTTGAAACCTATGGTTATTACAGAGAAATGCACTCTCACCCACTATTGAAATAATTATTTCAATAGTGGTCGTATTTCAATAGTGGTTATTACCTATGTTTGTAATTGAAATGCACTCTCAACCACTATTGATATAATTATTTCAATAGTGGTCGTTATTTCAATAGTGGTAGCAACACAGCCCCATCTATATATAAAAACAAAATTATGAGAGTCGATCCTCTTGCGCTTTACGCATAGATCTATGAAAGTGAAAGTTAGACTTATACTTTCTCAATATTTAAGTCAGTTTGGTGATCCGATCTGAAGTTTAAAAAAACATACATGTCACAGTTTTTTTATTTTAAAAAACAACAAGTTGTTATGAGGCAAGTTTCACAGGTCAACACTTATAATATATCATGAAGGTCCTCTGAAAATGTACCAGTAAGTCAAAAGAAAAAAAAATATTTTAGAGACAAAGAAAAATGTGTAAGTCAGGGGCCTATTCAGAGCAGCTTTTAAAGTCCTCGACACAAATGTACAATATTTGATTACCGTCTTCACAGATTAAAAAAACACAAAGAAATTTTATAAAAAAGAGAACATGTTTTACATGCGAAATCTGCACATTGGACTGTCTTTCGATTAAAATGCTTCTCATATATTAGTAAAATATATTCTATCCCAGTCTACCCAACATTTTACACACATACAAATAAGTTCCATTGTGTGCAGAAGGGGGAGAAATGCTGGCCATTCTTTGTCAGTTCATTAACATCAAATATTCGAACATCTGACCATCCTTACCAACTTACAAGGAGTCCATGTGTTCTGAAAGTGGGGGGAGGAGTTGAATAGGTTACTTTTGTGTTAGTCTTCTAGTTAAATTTACATGGAGACTGGTCCTTCGGATGAGTCTGTATAAACCGCGGTCCCGTGTCGCAGTAAGTGCTGGCAAAAAGATCCCTCACTGCTCAAAGGCCGGTTATAGGACAATATTTGCAACTCTCCACCGGTAAGTGGTGGCGTCTCCATATGAGTTAAAAATTCTCGAGATGGACGTTTAACAACATACAAACATGAATCAATCTATTTAAATTTAAACATTGAGAAAGGGTCATCACCTGAAGTTTCACAAGTTATCTAGAACCTTTGTTTATACAAGATATTTCTGAAGTTATCTAGAAACCTTTTTTATACAAGATATATCTGACTTTTGTGTTTGACATCTGTAGCGGACAGTATATAGGGAACTTATACTGCCCCACTAGTGAGCTAGCTTTTATAGTGATGTGGTAGAGTCTCTCTCTGTTTCAGGCAAATTAAACAACGGCGAGCCTGTTTAAGCATTGGATGGGTGATTGCTCAAAAACATGGAAAGCCATGGAAAGTAATGAGATACAGGCCTATCTAAATGACATGCAAAATTTAGGAGCTTTTCAGACAAACATAATTATGTATACTTTGTGGTGTCAATATCATTCATTTAATGATTTGTTTGTATCTTTCATTATAAGCACTTTAAACTGAAATTCTGTATCATTGCAAACGTTGTTTAGGCCACACCAATTTGTAATATAGTTCTTCGGATTTTCAAAAATAAAA